CCCTGTTTGCTCATGTTTAAAATAAGGGCTGTGCTTAACAATCTGCTGAGTGCACAAAGCTCCTACAAGGCAAGCCAGACTGAGGACCTCTCCCCATTCCAAAGGAACCCCAAAGATCCAGCCAAGTGCCTGTTTTTGCAGCTCTCCCTGTGGAACACGGGATTACAAGTGGCATGAGGCAGGACAAAGAGCAGGGACCACTTTCACTGCTGAACCTCACTCAATGCCAAACAAAAGCACAGCCACTGGTGAGATGCTTGAAGAGAAAACCCCACCTCCAGGCAGAAGGCCCATGCTGAATTTAGAAGAGTTTATTGGTGAGCTGAAGATCTCTTTGTAAGAACCATCTCCAAAGAACAACAACAACATCAATGTCTTCAAACCCACTAAAATCTTAAAAGACGACTGAAAATTTAACTGACCCAAATATTTTATTTTTTATATTTTACTAAGGTATCCTGTGGAGTTGGAGTATAAATCCTATTAAACTGAACTTAGTTTGTCCATCCCTAAAATAGATTTGACATACAAACACAAACACAAGGTCAAGGTCACAGATCAGCAAGAAAGATTACAAAGAGGACTGATGTAAGAGCTGGCATTTGATCAAAGCTTCTTTTTTTTTTAGCAGACTTACCAGAAATACCACTACACTTCATTTTCTTCACATTGGTACATTGCATGTTTTAAGTATTCCCTATATTAAGAGCAGCTGCTCTGTCCTTACTTATTTTGATAAGAGCTATTAGGCAGAACAGCACATAAACTAAGGAAAAGCTCTTATGTTAAATGAACAGGAAGTAAAAGACACTTTTTGCCATCCTTTTCACTCTATTCAGCCATTGGTAATACACATTAAATTACAAATGTAAAAGGAAAACCCACTCAAACACATAGCAAGACCAGTGTTAAAGAATCAGGACCTCAGGTTTTAACTTGCAGCAGTTCAAGACGCTTATCATATATAACAATTGTATATTTGGATGTGCACTTCCAAGCACAACACTTGCTTATTTATCCTAATTATCTGTGTGCACAGCATATATTTCTCAATTAACAAAAAGAACCTCAAGGTCTGTGCAGAACACAATCAAACTAACCTCTTCTGTAATCAGGACAACATTTACCTCCTAGAAAGCCTCTCTAATGCTGAACGCTGAGTAAGCGAGCAGATTAAACACAGTAGCAACAGTTGAAAGACTCATTAAAACTCAGCTGCTGAAAATAGTCAGCAATGAAAGTCATTTACTGATCTATCCATCCATCCACGCACTGATACATTCTCAAAGCTTTAAACACATGCAGGACAGTATTTAGCTCACAGGTCACGTCTACCACATGCACCCTTCTGATGCCTGAACACGAGGAAGAGGTGTCTTGGGTGACACAATGGCATTCAAAGCTGCACTGCTGCCACAAAGTTTAGATGCTCACTGTAATAGGCAGTAATTTAAAGAATAGTGTGGCTCGTACTCTTAATTCCTAACCCCCACTTTCAACACCAGCACTGCTCTGATGTTAGCCTAGACATGAGTGGGAGCAATTTATATTTAGACAGAGAGATATATCTATAACTGGGAATGGCCTGTGTTAATATTAAAGCTTTTACTTGAACCCATTTGGGGTGACCTGCATAGCTCACTAGTATGTGGGCTTCTTGGACATTGCCAGTAAAACCTTCATGCTATCACATATTTTGTTAATATTAAAGCTTTTACTTGAACCCATTTGGGGTGACCTGTGCTCACTAGTATGTGGGCTTCTTGGATATTGCCAGTAAAACCTTCATACTGTCACATACCCTCCTGCACCTTGTTTCAGCTATTTAACATTTCTTTACTGATTTTCCTCCATTTTTGCAAAGGTAGTGCATTTGCAGCTCTCCACTTATATGACTGGGTTGTCTCAGCTACTAATGAAAAGACCTCAAAGGAAAAAAAAGATGGAAAAAAATATTTTAACTTGTCTCCTTTTTGAAAATATCCTTCACAAGAATTAGGTTATCGCCCTTTTAAGCTATAGTACTGCCTGCACTACTAGGGCCAGATACAAATCACTCCTGGAGCCTGGGATGCCAGCTTCTCAGCACTGTGGTATAGGTGCTTTTAGATAGTGATTCATCAGACCTTAAAACAGTCACTGGTTTAAGATCAAATTGATTTACGTTGTAGACCTCAGGGCAATACAATTCTGCTCTTCCTTAGTCCCCCTTTTGTAAGCGCTTTCAGCAAAATGGGAGAAAAGGGGAGGCTGGTTAATTTTTTTTCCAAGTGGAATTTCTATCCTTCCTACTTTGTGTAAAGCTGATAAAGCTTCTCACTGCATTGAAGAGTCAGAAAGGGAAAAATAAAAGAAAGTAAATCAGGAAAAGATTACAACAAAGCAGCAGAAGTTCCTTCCACATCCACAAATCAGTAGCTTACTTTGAGAACCAAGCACACATGAAAATGTGTATATAGGACATTTCACAACTAAAAACATTTTAGGACACGCATCATTATTAGCAGTACAGCTGCCCAACATGTGAAATCCTATAGCAAATTTATTTGGAGTCACATAGCTTTTTTTAAGTTTACAAACACATGAAAAAGCCTTTGCTTTAACTGAGCTGTATTACAGTGAGTAACTGTTCATTCAGTGTCATGGCAAGTCTTCTCTCAAGCTTATACTATAAAAACCCTCTTTAATCTTCACAACCAAACCTTTGATAAAACAAGCCAGCAGCCATTGTGGGTTTGGGTTTTTTCCTTTCAAATACAAGCTCACACTCTTTACACACAAAACCTGCAGAATCAAGGGGGTTTCTGCTTGCTCTGAACTTTGGATCAAATCCCCCACTCATTGAGGTGCAGGGACGTGCATGTGCAGGCTGCTGTCAGCAGCCAGTGGTGGTTTTGGCTGTGACACCATGTAGAAAATATCCGCAATCCAGTTCTTATCCATTCCTCTTTGGAGAGCTGGAACAGGCATCTTTCCACACAGTGATCCAAATGTAAAGCACTTCAAGGGTGCTGTCTTTTAAAAGGGGGTAATGACAAACAGAAGCAAACAACCAGCCAATACTGCAACAACAAATATGACAGCTGGAAAAAACTATTTCTGGTCAATTTTACTAGTCAACAAGAGTCCACAACAATGGATTATGTTGAAGGACTGGATGATTATCAATCCCCAATTCTGTAAAGCTAAAATTCTTCCTCATTTTTTTAGAAAATTATTGTTCGTAGTTAAATTTACATGTGTGAAATGTCAAGTAAGTTTCTAAAAATCTTAAAACACCCTGTTGATGAACAGTGTCGTAGTAAGTTCTTGAACTTTGTACTTCTTTTTTACTTACTTATTTTCCCTGACGTAAGTACACCTATGAATTTTAATGGGACAATAAAATAATGGCAAGGTTACGCACACACGCAGATCTGTGCATGAGAGAGGCATCTGAATGAGTCAAAAAATATTAAAGTTACAGGTATATGCATAGGACAGAGGGGTATCTACCATGCTAAAACCCAGTAACACATCACCAGTTTAAGCATCACGACCACTAAAAGCAGACTAGTTAACATTTGAAGTTTCAGTGTTCTTCTATCATTCAGGACACAGCATAGGATTTCCAAGATGTGCAACATCAGTTATTCCAGAGTTCCCATTCCTCAAGTTGTTCAACACACAGCAACCATTGCAGGTGATTTGGTTTCCCATATGCTGGAAGTCTGATAGTGATTCATCAACAAATAAAATGTGTAACAATGAAAGGCAGTGGGAGGTAGGTAGTGAATTTCTCTCTGCAAATCTTGTCTCAGCCTTGGGGGAAACAGCTCAAAATTACAGTTTTAATTTATTCACTTGATGTGAGTACTGAAAACGTGGTGAGAGTGGGGGAAGTTGTCATAACAAAAGACCTGAAAGTCAAGAATCTAGCAGATAAACAGGTGAAACTGCACCAAAGTAGCTGAAGCCATGTATGATGTAGTATAAAGTAATTATCTGATAGTTATTATCTATAACCACAACTCTATCAATTCAGCTGATCAGCTATGTATTATTTCCAGTTTACCCTGCCATAACAGAGATTTGGATATGGCTGACAGGTCACAACCCATGTTCTCTGTGTTCTATAAAGCCATCTTTCCTTGATGTAACTGGATGTCACCTCCCAGCTCAATGTAGCATCAATAACTCCAGTGTTTTCTAAATCAATACATAGTAAGGCCTTGTCAATAACCTGAAGGTAAGTTTCACTGACTGCCTGCATTGTTACTAAAGCACTTTTTTGTTGTTTCTTTTTCCAGTCTATACATAATCTTGTTAAAGAAGGGTAGTTTTGTTCAAATTCTGTTGCTCAATTTCATCAGTGAGTGAGACCAAAAGAAGGCATTTTTTTGTTGTTTCTTTTTCCAGTCTATACATAATCTTGTTAAAGAGGGATAGTTTTGTTCAAATTCTGTTGCTCAATTTCATCAGTGAGACCAAAAGAACTCAAATGAACACATTAACGGGATTTTATTCAGTAGCAGTTAAGACTTGTGAGTATCTGCAGAATCTTACAGAACCACAAACTCCCAAATACCAAATAAATGTTGAAGCAAATCATATTGGAAAGGGAGGTACAAGCCAAAGAGGGCAACAGAGGAATACCAGAGGGAAAAAAATCCCATAAAAAACCCACAACCCAAAACATTTTCTCAAAGGGACTTAATGCTCTTAGAAGCATACAATTTAAAATCCATGTTGAGAAAAAGCCAGAAGTTTTAGTGGGCAGGTGAGCATGTCTTCAGTCTCTCAGGAAACTTAGCAGATTGTTACCTCAGCACCCTAGTTAGCAATGTCAGGAGAATGAGATCAGGACTACACAGGGATGTGAAATGAACCATCTACTGACTGGAATTCCTGGGAAGGATAAGGACCAAAGCTAGTGTGAATGAGATAAAGTTACCACTCTGTCTGGGGTGAAAAAAAAAACAGGTTAATAAACTTTTCCAGTTCATGGCAGAAACTCATACCTTTCAAATGTCAGTGCAGGATCTTTGTGAATCTGGTTTTCACTCCTTCCTGCCAAAAATAAATACATTATGATCAGGATGTAGAAACTTATGGTGGAAAATAATTCTATTCTATAGTAACAGGAAAGTAATTTTGTTAATTCGGTATCAGGCTCAAAAGGGAGCCTGTCTTACTTCTTAACATGGTATAAACAGATTAATATAAAGTTTTACCCAGAAGCTGGTTATACTTGTGGTCAATTTGTGGGAGTATTAGAACTTGACAAATGAGCTGAGCAAGCTGGTAAAGGTAACCTACCAGGAGAGAGGGGATAGCTCTCCTTCCCTGGTTAGTACTACCCACTTTATAAAAAAAAGCTGTCATTAGGAGATTATCTTTATTCTAACACTATCCATTTATTCCACTATCCATTTGCCCATCATGACAAAAAAAAGTCCCAAACAACCAAGCAAAATGAAACCAGGAACACACCCAAGGCACTGCATTCTGCTTCTCTAGAATCTTACTCATTTTCTCCTGCTCTCCTCATTACCCTCACTCAATTTTCCCACAGCTCCCCACTTCCACAACCCACACTAGTGTAGCATTAACAACCATTCCACACTACACAAAACACAGCTGTTATTGTAATCTTTCCCCTGAAGACACTCTGTTCATATAACCCTTTATTTTAACTTGTTTTTCAATTGTTTTTCTCTTGCTCTAGATTAAGTTTAGAATTTCTCATCTGAATTCTATAAACATTAATAACTTTCATTTCTATCCACATTACCTAACCACTTACTGTGTCCTTTTTCCTTACCCTTTTGTTTCCACAAACACTCATTTCTACTATAACACTCAGGCACCTCTCACACAGGAAATTCCATTATGCTTCTGCACTGCTCCCCAGGCGAAGATCATCTACACTCTGGAGGCTCTTTCTTCCTCTCCTCCAGCAGTAAATTACCAAAGCAAAAATTAATCCAAATCCACCAAAATACCTCCTGCAAGACCACAAGCCAAAACACAAATGATATATGTTGCTTGCCCTTCCTCACAGACTTGTTTGTTCCCTTTTTCTCATCATAGTCTATATGAAGTTTAAAATAAATACATCTGCACCTGTGAGATGCTGACAAGTTCAGCTGGACAGCAATTAAATGAAGCCCTAGAGCAACACTGGCCTCCAAAATAAGTATGTTTTCTCTTCCTCTTACAGAAGAAAAAAATGCATTTATTGGTTTTGCAGTACAACAATATGTGCTGCTGTAATAACAGCTTTCACCCAATACCTTTTTTTTACTACATATGATTGGAAGGGAAGTAAAGAATGATACACCCTAAAAGATCAACAGAACACAAAGACTAATGATAGGAAGAAAAGGGTACAAAAGGCCTAAAATATAATGTAGAAGGGCTAAAATACAGCATCAAAGGGCTCCCCTTCTCTTGAGCTGCTACTTTTAAAAAGTCTAGTGAAAGCTCTTTCACTTCTCCAGCTGTTGCAATGACACTATCCCTACCCTGATGCAACCTGCTCTCACTTCAGAGGGCACAGAGGCAAAAAAGACCAGAGTGAAAAAACACTGCTCCTAGGAAAGAAAGGAGATACTTCTTTTCAGAGAGACCAAAACTACTTACTTACTTTTAATCATGACAACAAACAATGACATGGATGAGGAAAATTTTGGGGAGCAAGGTGAAGGCTGAGGGAGCACGTGTCCCAGGGACCTCCTCCAGTGAAACCAAGGAAGCTTTCTGCGTCCCAGCTGCCTTCATCAAATAACCTTCCCAGCCCAAACAGCAGACTTAATACTGCAAGTTTCCATTTTTTTGAACATAATTTCTCCACCTCACAGAGTGGTTTGATTTACTGGGTCTGAATTCTTTTTTACCGCAAACAAAACATAACCATTGCTTCCAAATTTACCTTGGTATCTCCCTATAAAATCATGTACACCAGAGCTTCTCGTAGCACTTTGGAAGGTGAACAGTTTGCCTGACCAAGAATAACCTACCAGGATGCAAAATCCACTTGCCTTCTTTATATGCTGCCAGGTTTATGAGAGCAAGTCTGTCTGTGCTTGACATTTGGCGTAATTACTATTGTAAAATGTTTTATATTCCTGTAAATTCAGACTACGACCCCAAAGTGCTTACAAATTGAGATGAGATGCAGAGATAACGAAGATTAGGAAAGGAAAGATGTAGGGGAAAAGTAGGTACAAAGAGGAAGAAAGCATCAATGCCAGGAAAAATTGTGAGACTGTTCAAGCTGCCTGACCAGCATGGAGTCCTGAACTATAAAAAATGACAAGCAGAAACAGGTTAAGGTGGGATACTGCACACTGCAAAACATTATAATCAATTTGCCTCACTAGAATATAAAGCCAGAGGTGAAATTCTAGGTAGCATGGTCCCTAAAACACCAGCTGTATTTCTCTACCATGTTGTAGGAAGCATTTCCACTGAAGTGCAGTAAACTTTGTCATAACGCATATGAATGGAAAATTCAGAATTTTCAGGGGTTTACACTGTTTTTATGGTGATTTTGACCAAAGGAACAGGAAGAAGGACTGGAAGCTCTAAAACACCTTGACTCTAATCTGTTGCTGAAAAACAGATGGAAGGGAAAAAAGGAGAAAAACTAGTAAATTACTGTGTATCCATCACCACTCAAGACCAAAAAGCTCCACTTATATAGGGGCACGGTGGGGGTAAGATTCCAAAACAAAGATTAACAGACTTTAAACCATTCTTGCAATTCACTTCCACATATAAGAGATAAAGCATGCACTGAATGCAACTTATTTTTGCCAGCTGCTCAGTAAGACATGAATGATTCAAGAACACTGAGTAACAACAAGCTCCTTTTTGCTAATGTATCTGAAAACATCTTTCTTGTGTTTCCCACGGATTCTTGCATTTTACTTCAGTTACTTTACTTGAAACAAACGTATATTTTTCAAGAGCAAGCATGATCCATGTTCCCCACAAATAATAATCAAAAGAAAGCTAACAGTATTTATGAAGTCTTTCTAATGCACATCCAGAAAAACCAGACTACTTGATAGGGATATGTATGCACAATCTTTGCCACTTCAGGTACTAAAACCTCCCTTGTTTAACATTTCTTTTTGTGTAATTGGCAAATTAGGAGTTTAATTTTTGCATAGCAAATATCATCCAGCCAGTTTTAATTTCAAACTGGCTTGCATTCCATCATGACTAGCTGAATGCTACAAAAACCTTTGACATCACAACCTCATAAATCTTGGAGAACAGATGAAATTTTTGTAGAAGCAGGAAACTGTTGGTAAGATACTTCTTCCATCGCTGATTGTACTTGGTCAGCTGTAACTATTTGCAAGCGTCCACACTTGCAAATTACAAAAAACACGCATCTGAACTACCCTTCCATGAAATTATTTTCTCTGGTAAAATGACAGCACAGGTAGAAAAGCTGAGAAGAAAATGTTTGAAGTTGACCAAGCATCAGGGGCTTTTTTGATGAAACATACAACCATAATCTAAAAACTTAATAATAATACCAATAAAAAAATAATCTTAATGTACTCCACCACCAAGCTGCAGAGTATAAGCAACATCCTAAGTACAGAAAGGACTTTCACAGACTTATCCATTCACTACATGAATCTGGAATTAAAATCCCAAACTATTTTGGATTTACGTGAACTACAGAATTAAATTACATATTGCTTATCCATAAACTGAGATCATTAAAAAACCCCACTCACAAGCAAACTAACAAGAAAGAGGCATTTCAGCTACCTGCTTCAATCTGACATCTAAATATCTGATGTTAGATGGCTGCTGCTATTTTACAGACTGATCATAGTAATTTCACTCCTACATTGTTCACCAGGACCTCTCATTACATGCACTGTGTGGGTCTCAAACATGTTGGAGGCTACTGAGTACCGTCAAAATTGCAAGGAAAAGAGAGATTCCATCTTGGAACAAAGGAGAACATTTTAGGAACATCCATGAACATATCATGCTTTGGAATTTTGCTACTCTACGCAAGAGAAACATCAACAACAGGAGAGGATTAAGCAGCTTGCTCAGTAGCACATTAACTCCATATCCACAGCAAATAAAGATTTTCTGAATTTTGGCAGAATTACAAGATATTCTCCCCACAGTTTGCGGGTGTTTTGGTTTTTGGGGGGTTTCCCCCTACTAGTGAAACCAAACAACAACTGGGTGCCTTAAACTTGAGGAAACAATGGTGCTTACTACTAAAGGAGTAGGAATTGCACACTACAGTAAATGACTTTGTCTTCCAAAATAAGACAAATTATTGGCATTCCCATCACCCTCAGGTGGACATGTATGTCAGTCAAATGCAGAGCAGTAATATGGGTGTTCCACTGTATGTGCTGAAACAACGTTCTTTCGAACAAAAAAACACATCAGGACAGAACTAAAATATCAGTACTGAAGCAAACATTAATGATGGCATTATGATCAAAAATATAATTCCACCAACTTTCCCTATTTCTTAGGGACCTAACATGAGGAAGCAGGCCTAATAAACTGTGCAAGAACTATTACATGGAAAACATGTAATACAGTGCAAAAATCACTGCACAGCAGCTCTTCTGATCCACTGACCACTTTCAGTCTCTTTCCTAACAAAGTACAATAAAGTCCTTTCTATCCTGAAGCAAGGGTCTCTCACAGACAAGTATGTCTGTACACATATCCAAGAACTTCCTGCCAAAACAGGTCCATTTTTAATTCCTTGCCTTAGAAAGCTGTTAAAACCTGGCTTTTACCAGTCTAATTCAGCTGCAATACACTCAGATGGACCAGAGCACAGGGTGTGCATTCATCCCTGGTTCCACCAGTGAAAAGGCAGAACTGCAGCATCCTGTGCCAGCAGCAGTGAAGGAACTGATGCTGCAGCAGCAAGTGAATCCAGGCAGACAGCTTTTTTTGCATGTGCTGAACTGCTCACTGGTGCCCAGCCTCTGGAATGCTGAATTACTCCAAGCCTGATTGATCCTCCTCTGCAAGTCTCCTGAATAACTAGAACTAAG